ATGTTCACCACCACAGCTTCAGCAAGCACTTTCTGCAAGCTTCTCACAAACCCCATAAATGTTCCACACTAGGACCTCCCAAAAGGGCCAGAGTCATTCCTGACACCAGCATGATCCAGGGCACCATGTATTAAAGGAGAAGTGTCTCTGATAGCCACCAGCAAGCAGAGGCTCTCTGAAACATTGTGGTTACCAAGAAGCTCCAGTTGACACCTGCATTTGTGGGTCTAGAAGCCCTTTTTAAAGCTTTCTTAGGCTTTACGTAGATGTATGTGGACAAACTTTGGGCACCATTATGTAGCTACAAATATTCTCCATTCCTCTGGTCCTCCTGGACTAGTTTCTCTCCACCCAACAGGTCCCACTCAGTAACTCCTACAACTGCTTAAGAAATAACCACTCTGAGGCTTAATGTTATTACGTACTCCTTGGCCTATTTGCTCAGCCTTCTTATTAGTTTACTCTATATTTTAAACTAATCTATTTCTATTAATCTGTGTATCCCATGAAGGTGTAGTTTACTGGAAAAGTTTTGGCATCTTTTTCCTTCAGCAGCTTCATGGCATCTCCCTGATTCTGCCTTCTTTCCTCCTCTATCTCTGCTTGGATTTCCTGCCTTGCTATTCCTTATATCAGGCTTTTATTCTGGCTGTCACAGATTATTATGAGAAAAGTGACTTAAGGCAGAAGCAGTTTATTTCATATCACAATTGAAGAGTCCAGTTCATAAAATTCAGAAGTGTGAAGCTGCTAGTGAGTGACACACTAATAAATATTAAATGAGACAGTGGGTCATCAAGTAATCAAGATAGCATCTCATGGTATTCTTCGCTAAATCCTATTGATATAATAATTCAGAGGTTTCTTAAGAAACACATGCAAGATGATTATGTATCCTGTCAGTCTGTCAGTGAAAATTAACCATGCTAATTAATATATGTACTCATAGGAGCCAGTAAAATTTGAGGATGTGGCAGTGAACTTCACCTCAGAAGAGTGGGCTGTGTTGGATTCTAGTCAGAAGAAGCTCTACAGAGATGTGATGAAGGAAACATTTTTGAACCTGATCTCCATAGGTAAAAAGTACTACATGCTCCCATTGCTTATTCGGTCGTTGAACAACTGTGTCCTTGATGTGGGAGTTCCCTGTGTGCTGTGATTACCATTAATAAGTAAAGAAACTGCCTTAGCCTATTGACCAGAAAGAACTTAGGTAGGCGGTGAGGACTGGACTGCATACTGTGAGAAAGGAGGGCGGAGTCAGGGGGACTCCATAGATCTACTGCTGGACATACATGTGCTAAAAATTTGTTGGTAAGCCATGACCTAATGGTGATATACATATAAGTAGAAATGGCTTAAATTAAGATGTAAGAATTAGCCAATCAGAATCTAGAGCTAATGGGTTAAGCAGTGATTTAATTAATATAGTGTCTGTATGATAATTGTGGTTCTGGGGGATCTGGATGAACAAGCAGCTCACTGCATGCAACATGTCCTACTTATGCATGTTAAACTGGTATTGAATTCTTAAATTAAAAAATGAGCTTATTTAATGTGCATATTATAAGAACTAGGTTGCAATAATTTTTTCTTCCTTGCAATAATTTTTATGTTAAATATGAATATGTCATAATATATTTTCTGTATTTGGTTGTAGAAAAAGCACTAGAAGAAAATATTGAAGAGGACTATAAAAATCTCAGCAGGAATATGGGGTAATTTATATTCACTAGAAAATATATTATATATTTGAAACTCAGGGGACAACTGATAACATGCATAGTGCTCCAAATATAACTAAGTGAAAAATGATCTTACACAATTTTTTTCTTTTTTTTTTTAATTTATTTATTTATTAAAGATTTTTGTCTCTTCCCCACCGCCGCCTCCCCTTTTCTTCCTCCTCCCCCAGTCAAGTCCCCCTCCCTCATCAGCCCAAAGAGCAATCAGGGTTCCCTGCCCTGTGGGAAGTCCAAGGACCACCCACCTCCATTTAGGTCTAGTAAGGTGAGCATCCACGAAACTGCCTAGGCTCCCACGAAACCAATAGGTACAGTAGGATCAAAAACCCATTGCCATTGTTCTTGAGGTCTCAGTAGTCCTCATTGTCCACTATGTTCAGCGAGAAAAACCCATTGCCATTGTTCTTGAGGTCTCAGTAGTCCTCATTGTCCACTATGTTCAGCGAGACCGGTTTTAACACGGGCTTTTTCAGACCCACAAATTCTTTTAATGGAGCACTGAATTTTAATATTTAATATTTTAGTATTTCATGTGTGTAATCTGTTATCGCCAATATGTCACGTGATAATGAGGCTGAAAAAAAGGTTTTCCCTGGATTATTACACAAAATATCCCATCATGTGCAAAGGGTTTTACTTTCTGTTCATACTTATGAGGCTTTGAGAATTAATACTGTGCTTTGTTTGCTTTCTTTTGCTGTGACAAAAAAAGAATTCTGGGGTAGAGGACAGTTTCAAACTTCCTTGTCAGAATTCCCATCATATTGGGAATCCAGGGCAGGAACTCAAGTATGACAGGAATCTGGAAACAGGCACTGAATCAGAATTGATGGGGAAATCCTGTTTACTGGAGTGATCTTCATCCCTTAATCAGCTACCTGCTCTCTAAGGGATACCACCCATAGTGAACTGCGCCACCCCACCTTATACAGTGATCAAGACAAAGCGGCCAGAAACATGTCTAAATGTCAATCTGATAAAGTCATTTTTTGCTTTCTATTTTATTCCCAAATGGGGGTGCTAGTTTGTGTCAAAACTAATTAGCAGATACATTTCATATACAGAGCCTGAAATCCTGCCCATTGGCACACTACACAACATGGTAAGCCCTCCTTTATTGGGAATGTGAAATTGGTGTCACAGTCTTATTTCCAGGCCAATCTGATTGAGTCATTTATCAATTGGCAGACCCTATCTTCCTATGACCATTTTTCCTTCCTGTTCACTCGTTTTGTACCTCTTAATTATTTTATATATCTGTATCTGAGTTACGTTTTTATAAAAACGTTTCTGGAAGGCAGAAAATGCAAGAAATTCTTCATATCAAGTGTATCAGATTTTGTGAACTATTCACACGAACCCATGTCATTAAGCCTGGTTTGCTGAAAGATGGAGAATTGTTCTTAACCTCCCAGCCTGTGATACAGCTCCTTTTAATTCTTACAGAAGTAACATTAGTCCTCTACTTCTTTACACATAGCAGGGTCTCACCATGAAATAGATCTTGTGTTGACATTGATACCATTATTTTATTCCCTCTGAGACTCTATAGTTGTGTTCCAGACACCCTAGCCTTCAATATTTCTCTGTCTAAACTATTGCTTTTCTCATTTTTTGCAGAGTTCAGAGGATTGAGAAAGACCATGGAAGTGAATGTCATAATGAGTGTGATAAAAATCAGCCAGCTAGTCCAGAGAGTATGATCATTAAAGACACGCCTTGCAGAGTAAGAGTTCATGAGACTCCATTGCTTGTAACAAATATCATTGGTGATTTATCCTTACAAGGGTATCTCAGAGAAAAAGATAGAGGGAAACCACCACTGTATAAGGGAGCTGTGGCAAAAGCTTGTAAACATCAGAATCATTGGAAAGTAATCAGTTGTTCTAAATCCCTTCAGGTACTTGAAACTTCTCCTGAAGAGAAACCCAGGAAAAAACAATATAAAGAAGCCTGTAGGAGTCTGTGTTTAGATCAGCCTCAGGAGAGAACTTATACTGGAGATAAACTCAATGAGGATATCTTCATGAGATACACACGGGGACAGAATGATGAACAAAATCATAAAGAAGTGGAACAATTTGTATGTAGTCTCTGGGAAGAATCCTTCATTGATTTCAGTGAGCTTACCAACCATGAAAATAGTCATATTGAAGAAAAAAGGTACAGTTGTAGGCAATGTGGCAAAACATTTAAATATAAAACATGTTTTGAGAAACATAAAGTAACTCACAAAGGAGAGAAACCATATGCTTCTATACATTATGGAAAAGCCTTCACCCAATTCAATCATCATAACAGTCATGAAGGCAGTTACATTGGACAAAAGCCTTATACTTGCAAGCATTGTGGGAAAAAATTCACCAGTTCATCTCATCGAAACATTCATGAAAAAATTCACACTGGAGAGAAACCTTATGCATGTAAGCATTGTGGAAAAGCCTTCAACAAGTGCAGTAGTCGTAACAGACATGAGAGGAGCCACACTGGAGAGAAACCATTTGCATGTAAACATTGTGGAAAAAACTTCACCAGTTCATCTCATCTAAACAATCATGAAAGAATTCACACTGGAGAGAAACCTTATGCATGTAAGCATTGTGGAAAAAACTTCACCACTTCTTCTTATCTACACATTCATGAAAGAATTCACACTGGAGAGAAACCTTATCCATGTAAGCATTGTGGAAAAAACTTCACCAGTTCTGTTTATCGAAACAATCATGAAAGAATTCACACTGGAGAGAAACCTTATTCATGTAAGCATTGTGGAAAAGCCTTCAACGACCCCAGTAGTCATAAGAGACATGAGAGGAGCCATGCTGCAGAGAAACCATTTGCATGTAAACATTGTGGAAAAAACTTCACCACTTCTCTTTATCGAAACAATCATGAAAGAATTCACACTGGAGAGAAACCTTATGCATGTAAGCATTGTGGAAAAGCCTTCAACGACCCCAGTAGTCATAATAGACATGAGAGAAGCCATTCTGCAGAGAAACCATTTGCATGTAAACATTGTGGAAAAAACTTCACCAGTTCTTCTTATCTACACATTCATGAAAGAATTCACACTGGAGAGAAACTTTATCCATGTAAGCATTGTGGAAAAAACTTCACCAGTTCTGTTTATCGAAAAACGCATGAAAGAATTCACACTGGAGAGAAACCTTTTTCATGTAAGCATTGTGGAAAAGCCTTCAACGACCCCAGTAGTCGTAAGAGACATGAACGTAGGCACACTGCAGAGAAACCCTATGCATGAGCATTGTGGAAAAGCCTTCAACTCTTCCATTAGGTGTAACAGAGATTAACGGAGATATACTACAGAGAAACCGAAGCCTTATACATGCAAACATTGTGGAAAAACTTTCTGGTATAGGCATCTGAACATTCATGAAATAATTCACTCTGACAAAAGCCTTATAATGTAAGCATTGTGGACAATCATTTAACAACCCCAGTAGTTGTAAATAGACGTGGAAAGAGTCACACTGCAGAGAAACCTTTTTCATGGAGGCATTGTGAAAAAGCCTATACCAGTTTCAGTTCTTATAAGACTCATGTAAAGCCCTTCACTAATTTCTATTCATGAAGGTTCATGAAAGAGATCATACTGAAGAGAAGTGTTATAGATGTACACATTGTGAAAAAGCATTTACCTGCTCCAGTCAGCTGAACATTCAGGAAAGGGTTCCATTTGGAGAAATGGCTTTTTCATGTAAACATTACAGGAAACCTTTTAACACTTCAATTTGTCCTGATTTGCATGGAAAACAATCACACTGGAGAGGAACTCTTGGTGTGTAAAAGATGTGGAAACTGTTCATTCTGCAGAAGTTAACAGGCATAAAAGAGTTCACTTGATAGTTCATTTATGCACATAAGAATTGTGGAATAGCCTTCAGCTGCTCTTGTGATCATAACAGATCTGAACCTATTCACACTAGTCAGTAGCCTAATGTGTGTAACCATTGTCAGAAAGTCTTTACTAGATTCACTTGGTTCAAGAGTAAAATCATTCACACTGGATAGAAACCTTTTGTATGTACACATGGTATACAAACTATTTCTTCTTGTGATTTTAACAAGCATAAAGATCTCACACAGTGTCTGTAATGTGGGAAAGTCTTCAGCACAACCAGTGTCTGTTTCCCTCATACACAGATCTACACTGGAAAGAATCTAAAGCATATATCCATTTAAGTATTGTTCAATGTCTTCAGCAGTTCCTGTTGCCATGACGTTCTAAAGAAGTCACTCTGAAGATAGACTTTACATGTATAAACATGTGGAAAATTTTTTTAGCAATCACAGTTCCTACTATACACAATTGCTTTTTCCCTTTTCAGAACCTGTATGTTTACAATAAATGTGGGAAAATATTCAAAGTGTTTAAAATAAATAAAACTTAAAAGGTTTTTTTGGTAGTATTTTCTGTAATTTCTGTGTTTTACATTCATGCTGAAGTGCATAGTGATCTCACTGTGAATATAAGTAGTGTGTAGAACAAATACCAGTAATAACTCAGTAATGCTGTATTGGTTAAATCGCTTCTATTGTGAGTAATGGAAGAGGAATGTGCTAGGACCATGAGATGTATCAGCTAGTCATGATTCTTCCCAGTAAATGGGATTATCTGCATTCTCTCCCTGGATCTTATGTGGTGGCAATAATGTGTCAATTCCAGAAGCTCATCTAAGTATCATATGTATACTTCCTAATGAACACAGATATAGAGAAAGGATGAGAGAGAGGAGTATGGAGTTTACTTTCTTTATGCCAAAAGCTTTGGGGAAAAAAACTGCCCTTACCTCAATTGCTGGCAATATACTGTCCAGACTGGTACAAATAAAAGCAATTATCAAACTTGGTTGTGATATTACAGTCATTCAAAATGCCCTGCTTCGCAAAAATTTCTGTCATATATACTAGCCTATAGGCCAAAGATGGATGCCCCAGCATTACAGGAGAACTTTGAATGCTTGTCCAGGTAGCCTAATATCCCTGTTGTTCGGCAAATTTCACCCTTTTGGGATCTTAATAGAGTTAAAGATTAATAATCAGAATTAATTTTCTTATGGTAAAGGTAAATTAAATATAAAACTTTAGACTCCCAAAGATAGATAATTAAATACTCTCTCTAATTTTGTCAAATGCAAATGGACTGGACATTGTGAATGTAATTCTTACATAATAACTTTTTGTTGTATATAATCTTACTATGCCAAAGTTAAAACCCTCCTTTTTGATGAAACAAATAAAATGAGAGATGCTGAACACTGTGATAATTTTTCACTTAGATTGGTATAATAGGAACTTGATTGGCCAGTAGCCAGGTAGGAAATGTAGGCATAACAACCAAACTAAGGACACTGGGTAGAAAGGTGGAGACAAGCTGAAGGAGAGGTAAAGCCACGCACCATATGGCAATATATAAATAAATAGAAATGTTTTGGAACCGAATGGAGTCCTGGCCTTCCTACTCACCTCACGTTTAGATGACCTTTCTTGCCCTTGTTCTTCTGGTTACTGAGAAACTTGCAAGTTTCCTGCTCTGAGAGTTGCTTAACAACTCTGCGTCCTGAGTACACATTTTCTTGGCCCTAACCTGAGGATCTGGCAATAAGGTCTCCATCCTGTTGGCCTACCTATCTGGGTTAGGTATAAACACCCCTTGGTGATGTACAATAAAGGCTTCTAATTCTGCAACATGCAAAGTGTGTTTTCCATTAATCCTGATGTCCTTTGCTCAGAATTGGCGCTAGCTGCACTGGTGTGACAGAAATGGGTTGTAAGTGCTAGCTACTAATAAGCCTGAGCTATAAGCCAAGAATTTAAAATTTAAAAGTGTCTTTGGTTATTTAGGAGTGGGTTTATTAGAAACGAAAACTCTGCCTACATTATAATCATGACATATAATGTGTACACATTTAGAAATTTATACATACACACGTAGGTGAATATATGTATGTGTGTGTGTGTGTGTGTGTATTTACACAAACAAAATGAAGTGAGGCCACTTGGCTTGACAGTTCCTAAACCAAAGAACCTCACATTCATAAAAAACAACCACCAGCCGGGCAGTGGTAGCACACGCATTTAATCCTAGCACTTGGCAGGCAGAGGCAGGCAGATCTCTGTGAGTTCGAGACCAGCCTGGTCTACAACAGCTAGTTCCAGGACAGGCTCCAAAACCACAGAATAACCCTGCCTCCAAAAACAAAAAAAAAAAAAATATCAGGCAGAATAAATCTTCATTTGAGTTGTTCATGATAGTTAAATAATTCCCTAAGAAATTTAGGGTATTTTTTTTTCTTTTGGCTATCTCTGTGAGGCTGAATGGGAGTCATATTAACTGAAACCATTGCACATTTTGAATCCAGGCTGAAACAGTTGAGCTCCAGATAAAACTAAACCCATTTTCATTTATTCTAACTTTCATAGAAAGTTGCTCAGTAATAGAAGCAGTCAATATTCCTTGTTAATTTTTAACTCTTATGTGTTTTGATTAAGAATGGACCCAAAGATTCATGGTGTCACATTAGTTTCTTTGATTGCAGGTCAAAGCATTCAGTGTTTCCTCTAGACTTCAGAAAACACAATCTGTTAGCTCTGATAATGTACTGATACATTTTTATTGTCAACTTGATTCAAAGTCATCACCTTGGAAGAAGAAGCTTTAATTTAGGAATTATATTGCACAGATGGGCCCGTGGCCATGTCCATGAGGGATACTTTTAATTGATCTTGGAGGGCGTAGTCCAGAATGCTCAACACCATCACTACAAAGGTGGGTCTGGCTTATATAAGAATATTAACTAATCATCAGTTAATCCATACTTCCTGCCATGGCTTCCATCAATGACGGTTTGTGACCAGAAACAATAAGTTAAATGAATACTTCCTTACACTCAGTTGCTTTTATTCATGATACTTATTACAGGAACAAAAAAAAAATACACATATGCTACATCACAGAATATTCAACAATATTGTCGGAGCATTTAAAATGTTCAAGTCCCGGTTTAATTGAGAAAAACCAAAATGGAGATTTGGTATAAGATGGAACCTTTGTAAAGCCCCTGTTCATTCATTTTTCTGCTTACAGTTTGAGGAGAGTGGGACATAGATTCAGAGCCTTTCTAAATTTAGAATGGTTTAATCGATGGATAAATGTTGTATCTGCTCTTCCTCAGTCTTTGTTTTTTCATTTTACATACCATTTCCAGTGGCCACTTCCCCCTCTTTTTCCACCACCGACCTCTGCTCATCCCATTCCCCATCCAGTTCTCAGAGTTTGTAAGCCTCCCTTTGGGAGAAAACAATGTCTGGTATACCAGTTTGAGACAGGACCAAGACCGTCTCCCTATATAAATCTGATCAAGTTGTTCCACCATAGGGAATGGGCTACAAAAGGCCCACTCATGTACCCAGGGTATGTCTGCTCCCACTGCCATGGGTTCCCCAAACAGAACAGGACACAACTGTCACAATTTCAGAAGACTTAGTTTGGTCCCATGTAGTATCCCTAATTGTCCATCTTGAGTCCATGAGCTACAACTAGTTGGGTCACCTGTCTTTGGTTTTCTCATTGATGACCTTATTGCCCCTTGCTCAGATGATCCATCCACCTCTTTGACTAATCTCCAAAAGCACAACGCAGTGCTCCATTGGGTCTGTTCTGCTGTCATCAGTTAGTGGGTGCAGGTTCAATGACTACAATTATGGTAGTCACCAATTGGATTATAGGAGAAGGTCAGTTCAGGTACCCTTTCCACTATTTCTAGCAGTCTTAGGCTGGGTCATTTTTGTGAATTCCTGCCAATTTCCCTAACACTTGGTTTCTCTCTCACCTCATAATGACTTGCTCTTTCAAGATAACTCTTCCATTTCTCGCTCTCTCCATCGCTCCTCCAACTCAGCCATCTCAAGTCCTCATATCGCTGTTACCCTTTCCTTCCCTTCCCCCCTTCCAAGTCCAATAATTAGATCTTAAGAATTTTTTGTCCCTGGGACCCTCCATGTATATCCTTCTTATTTTTTTAATCTAATTTCATTGGGATTGTAAATTGTAATCTGGTTATCCATTGCCTCTATGTTTAATATCCACATACCATGGTATCTTTCTGGATCTATGAACATAGTTGACCAGATATCTTTCTGGTATAAATGGGCATCCTTTGGGTATATGTCCAAAGGTTATATTGCGGGAGTCTTCGTGTGTATTGATTCCCAATTTTATGAAAAACGACCATACTGATTTCCAAAGTGCTGTACAAGTTTGCACTCCCATCAGCAGTGGAGGAGTGATCCTCTTACTTTACATCCTCTCCAGCATGAACTGTTAACAGTGTTTATGATCTTAGTCATTATGACAGGTGTAAGATGGTATATATAAAATTTATTTTGATTTGTATTTCCCTGATGGCTCAGTATGTTGAATATTTTTATAAGTGTCTTTTGGCCATTCAAAATTCTTCAGTTGAGAATTTTCTGATTAGATCTGCATCCTATATTTAATTGGATTATCTCGTATTTTGATGTCTAGTGTCTTGAGTTCTTTACATATTTTGGAGATCAACCCTTTATCAGATACAGGGTTGGTGAAGACATTTTCTCATTCTCTTCACTGTCCTTTTGTCTTATTCACCATGTCCCTTGCCTTACAGAAGCGTCTCAGTTTCAGGAGGTCTCATTTATTAATTGTTGTTCTCAGTGTCTGTGCTACTACTGTAATATTTAGGAAGGGAATCTCCTGTTTTCATGTGTTCAAGGCTACTTGTGACTGTCTCTTCTATACTGTTCAGTATAACTGAATTCATGCTGAGGTGTTTGATCCATTTGGATGTTGGTTTTGCTCATGGGGATTGATATGGATCTACGTGCATCCCTCTACATGTTGATATCTAGTTATGCCAGCACCATTTGTTGAACATGCTTTTTTTATCCATAGTACAATTTTTGCCTCCATGTCAAAACTCAGGTGTTCATAGTCATAGTTATATTTTATTTCTGTTTTAATAAATAAAGCTTGCTTGAAGATCAGGGTACAAAATTATGCTGCTAGACGCCAGAAAGTAGTGGTACTTGGAGGCAGAAACTGAAAGGTCACTGACTTTGAAACCATTCCAGAGTACAAAGCTATGACCACACAGAGAAACACTGTTTCAAAATTCACAGGAAGAGAAGGTCAGCTTAGCTAAATAGATATTGGCACTGATGGCTATGGGGGCATTGAGAGTCGCTTTTTCCAGGAGGATATCTACTAGTAGGTTGCCCATAGTGGAGAAGTCCCTTCATATCACACTATGGACTCAGTCAGCATCCTCAAACTGCCAGATCTTTAAAATCTGTATAGGTGCAGTTTTATGGCAAAGACTCACCCAAGAGTGTTGAAAATTGTAAGAAAGGAGTTTCCTTAGACAGAAGAGTAGGGAACAAGGCTGCCTGTGGTGTGTACACTTCAGGTGTCATTGCTGTTCCAGACTCTATCATTCTCTGGACCAAATAACACCAGGGGAACCTTCAGTTGGGGTCTCTGCATATTCCCAAAGTAGCTAGTTTTTCAGTGCTCGTACTCAGGAACACAGAAGCCCAAGTTACATTCACCATTCTGTGCTTCTGATATTTCTAGTTGTCCCACCAAAAATCTGTTGCCCTCTGAACACACAGCTGCAGACACTTGAACTTGACATTGCTTCCCTCCGTACGACAAAGCCTAAAGAAGCAACATGGGTAGCAGCCTATGACTATGCTCCCTTTGGACTGTTTATCCCTTTTATTAATAAGGTCTCAGTGATGAACTGTTCTCACTCTGCTTTTTCTACATTATCTAATAAAACACTTTAAGGAAGTTCTTGTATGAACCCTTATTGCCAATACACTTAAGGAAGCTGGTCTTCTGGCAATTCAAAGCTATTTAGGGCTAGTCAGTGCTCCCTACCTGCCTTTTCCACAAAGACACTGCCTTCATTTTGCTCTGTACATTCTAAACTTGTGCCATAAAAGGAAAAACAGGACTTTGAGGCAGGAGACGAGTGCAACTGGGTTTGTGCACAGGAATTGGTATAGGACTGGAAAAGAAAACTCAAGGATTAGGGATGAGGCAACAGTTCATTGCTCAGATCTATTTATCAGTTCATCTTTCACAAGTCAGAATAGCCAAGAATAAGAAAAGAATTCATAGCAAAATTTTGTCTAGGGTTCAGAGAGACAATTCTCTAGTCAAGAGTGTTTGCTGCCCTGGAAATTGAGTCGTGTCTCCCAAGTGCCTGTTGCCTCAAATTCAGGGTGTCTCACACTTTCCTTGGGCCACCACTGGAACACAAACTGCTATGGGGACATACCATAGACAACTGAAAATGAGGTACATCCATAACAGAAAGTGCCTACATGAATATCTTAGAGAGCTCATACTAGTAACTTGGCAACATGCCTGAAAGAAGAAGAAGTCAATCTCACTCAAAATGAGTAGAAGATAAGGTATACTCAAACTGCTTTCTCTTTTTTCTGTTTTTGACAATATCTAGTTTTATTCACAGTATTCACATAAAATGCATCTGTTCTCATTTGTTCTTTACGGTAGTAATTTTTCTTCTTTGAGTGTATTAAAATTATTCCTGTGCCTTTGACCTTGATTTTTTTTCTTATTATCCTGGTTTTCCATATGGTCCCATGGATGTTCAGTGCCAAGAGGATTTAGATTTAACATTTTCTTTGACCTACATATCCATTTCTTCTATTGTGTCTTCAGTGGGTGAGATTCTTTCTTTTTTATCTTGCATTATGTTGATGAGCCTCATCTCTGATGTAAGATTTGCGTTTCAAGTTTGCCATTTCATATTTATTTTTGCTTTGGGAAAAAAGGCTTTATTTCAGTTTACAGTTTATATCGTCCATCACAAAGGAATGTAAGACAGCATTAAAGAAAGTACGAAGTCAAAGCGGGACCTGGAATTCGAACCTGAAGCAAAGGTAATAATGAATGCTTCTCACTGGCCTGTTGTCATGTTAATGTTCATTTACTTTTACTATACCTCCATGACCACCCACACACAGATGGCACTCCCCACAATGGACTGGAAACTCCCCCATTCACCATTAATCACAAATATGACACATATATGTACATGCAATAAATCTTTGAAGGAATTTTCTCAATTTCCCCTTCCCAGATGACTCTAGGTTGTATAAGTAAACAAAAGAAAAAAAAACCTAAGCAGTTCAGCTGGTCAGCCAAGGCTCATGCCAATAATCCCAGCACTTGGCAGGCAGAGGCAGATCACTGTTTGTTTGCGGCCAACTTGTTCTACAGAGTGAGTTTTAGAACAGACAGTGCTACACAGAGAGACCCTGTCTTGAAAAACCACAAAGAAGCAAAAACAACAGAATACAACTAAACAGTTGAATTTGTCAACCTTGTTGATGATTTCAAAGACCCAAATCATCATTTTATTGATTGTTTCTGCTGTTTTTGGTATTGGTGTGGCTCCTATGTCATTAATTTCAGCCTTGATCTTGATCATGTCTTCCCATCTGTCACTTGCAGGTGTTACTTGTGCTTGTTTTTCTTAGGACTTCAGGTCCATTATTAAGTTATTAATATGAGATATCTCAAATGTTTTGGTGTAGGTACTTAATTCTATAAACGGTCGAGGGAACTTATAGGATGCTCCCTGGGTTAACTTATTTGGTATCTGTCCCTCATCACTAGGAAACGTTCCTGTGTGAGGCTTCCTTTACAGCACAGTGTGCAGTCCTGAAGACTGAGAATACATTGACACTTGATACTGTGGGTTATCTTCTTGACCTGGGCAAAATAAGGTCTCTGTCTCCCGTTCAAGATCTGTTCCCGCGCCTCACCCGCTATCCTTCGTGGACCATTGCTTCCGGGTAATTCTATTTTACTCAGCCAAGAAGTGCATTCGTGACAAATTCTTTAGTTGGCACATTGGGCCCTCGTTCTTACTCTGCTTCTACTAACCAGGGACCCTTCCTCTTATGGCCCCGGGTTTACTTTAACGGCACTGAATCTGGGCTGTTCAGAGCCAATCTGTGCACTATTTTATGTGGAATAAAAGTAGGATGCCACTGAGTACACGGGAAGCGAGTCTGTGCGCTAAAATCTCAAACGGTGTTCCCCTTAAGTGCAATTATCCCACAGGCTTATACCAGGGGGAAAGCCTGGTTTACGATTGGACGTTGATTTTATTTTTCCCCTCCCGCCTCCCCACCCCTCACCTCCCGCGATGGGAAAGGACGTTGGTCCTGCTACTCCTGAATAAGAAGGCGGGTCCAGCAGCTTGCGCCAATCAGGGACGCTGTTACTTCCTTGCTGGAAATGTCGAATGAGGAACAAGAATGTTCGGCGGTTTCCGCCCCTGGCTCCATTTTTGAATCCGGTGTAGATTTTGTGAGGTGTGTGACAGCTGGTTTCCGTCGGTGTCACCTATTCTGACGGCAGGCCCCTCCGAGAGGACCTCTGCACGCGTCCGGAGCAGGACATGGTGAGTGTGCGGTGGCTCCTGGAGTCGTTGGTGCAGCCTGGCGCCGCCGACCCGGACGGTCCCTGGCGCTGTGCTGCAGACTCTGGGGTGGAGTCTGGCACAAGCAGAGCCGGCAGCTGGCAGTAAAGAGGCCCCTCCTGTCCTGTTGCTGCTGTGACTGCTTCATCCCAGTCCCCAGCCTGTCGTGGGGAATTCGCTGTGAACCTCCGCCTCCGCAGACGGTGCATCCTGCAGGGCTGGAGAAGCGGAGTTCGGACTGTGCAGGGAAGGGACGCGGGTGGTGAACGTTGCTGCCTGTCTGCCCTAGCACACTCGTTTCCGACCTGTTTTTTATCGTTTTCTGTAATTTCTTTGGTGTTGTATTGGTTTTCTCGAGGCTGCTTTTCCAAACAGAAGGGGCCTGTACCGCGAGTTTATTTTATTTTTTCGGCTTTTCTGTCCTGGAACTCCATATTAGCTGTCGATGACCTTGAAGTTGTGATCCTTGGTTCACCTCCTAAGTTTTAGGGTTGCGAGGAATGAATCACCACACTTGGTTTAATGTGGTGCTTGGAAGGAAACAGAAGGAGGGAGTCTCTGCATATTAAGCAAACACAACCAAGTGAGCTCTGCTGCATAATTTTAATTTTTTTTTTTTCGAGACAGGGTTTCTCTGTGGTTTTGGAGCTCTGCTGCATAATTTTAAAAGTAGATCGTTTTTCTTCCTCGGATTGAGGCATGAAGATCCTAAACCCTTCTGAGTTTCCTGAGCAGCAGCCGTGTCACTGATTGCTTAGCATAACCCTCTTGTGTCTAACACTGAATGCATTCTAATAAGGTTATTGAAAACTTTCTTTGAGATGGCGTTTTCCTATGTAGCTTTTGCTGGCCTGGAACTGGCTATGTAGATGAGGCTGGCCTCTGACTAACCAAGGTCAGCCTACCTCTGCCTCCCAAGTGCTAGGATTAAAGGTGGATGCCACCATACCCAGACTTGGGGTATAAATGTTCAAATATGTTATCGTAAATTTTGGGCTGTGTATTGTGATGTCTCCTTTTTCATCTCTAATTCTATTAATTGGGCTTTTTTCTCTCTTGTTTAATTTGTCTATGGACTGTCAACCATGTTTATCTTTTCAAACACCAACCTGTAATTATTGATTCTACTTTTTTTTTAGAAAAAAATATTTATTTATTTATTTATTAATTATGTATACGATTTTCTGTCTGTGTATATGCCTGCAGGCCAGAAGAGGGCACCAGACCTCATTACAGATGGTTGGGAGCCACCATGTGGTTGCTGGGAATTGAACTCAGGACCTCTGGAAGAGCAGCAATGCTCTTATCTCTGAGCCACCTCTCCAGCCCTGATTATACTTTTTAATTTAGGTGGATCATGTTTGCCAGGTGCACAGAGGTCAAAAGAAAGTATTAGATCCCCCTGGAAATGGAGTTATAGGTGGTTCTGATCCACTATGTTGATCCTGAGAACCCAGCTGAGATCCTCTGCAAACGCAACACATGCTCTCCTGAGTCATCTTTCCATCTCGGTGGGATATTTTTTTTTAATTCTCACTTTTGTTTCATTAATTTCAGCCTTGATAGTCATTATTTCTTCCATTTAGTGAATTGGAGTTTGGGTTCTTGTTTTCCAAATAGCTAAGGTCCTTCTTTTGGTTGTTCATCTGAGATCTGATGTTATGAAAAACATATATTTTGTTTAGTGTGTTCATGTGTGTGTGTGTGTGCATGCCAAAACTAGTGAAATGGAGGTTTTCCTTATCAGTACAGAAAACAGCAGCATCAAATAGGCTGTTTTCAGTAGGCCATGCTCTGAGATGTCCAGAGTGAAGATCTAAGAGGGGAAGGAGGGAATCCCTCTTGTGTGATTTTGTTGTTGTTGTTGTTGTTACTGTCTTTTTTGAGGGAGGGGTCGGTTTGGTTTTTTCCAAGACATGGTTTCTCCATGTACACCTGGCTGCCCTGAAAATCAACTCTTGACCAGGCTGACCTCTTCCTCTCCGGTGCTGAGATTAAAGGTGTGCACTACCACCATCCAACCTCTCGTATACTTTTTTTAGGCTAGGAAAATGAGTTATAAATGAACTTCTTAGTACTGTCTTCATTGTGTTTTATCCGTCTTCTCACATCATGGCTTCATTTTCATTTAATATAAGGAAATACTTGATCTCCTTATTTCTTCATTGACACATTCATCATTGAGTAGTGTGTTATTTAATTTCTATGAGCTTGTAGATTTTCTGTAATTTCTGTTGCTGTTGGCTTTCAGTCTTATTGCATTGTGATGAGATAGAATACAAGACATTGTTTTAGGTTTCCTCTATTTGTGGAAACTTGCTTTGTATCCTCTTATAGAGACTTTCTGTTAGTTGCTTAGAAGTGTGTGTATTCTCTTGTGTTTGAGTGGAATATCCTTTGTGTATTTAGCTGGTCAGTCTGTTTTTTGGTGTCATTCATTCTGTTTGCTTGTTTGTTTATTGTCCTTTTGAGACTCAGTCTCAATTATGTAGCTGCAGCTGGCCTCAAACTTGCTGTGTAGACCAGGGTGACCTGAAGTTCATGGAGATCTACCCGCATCTGGCTTCTGAGTGCTGGAGTTAAAAGCATACCAGACCGCAGCTGACCTCATTGTGTCATTAATTACAGATTTTCTCTGTTTATTTCTTGTCTAGTTCATTAGTTGACTGGTGAGTTGGGTATTGAAGTCACTGAGTATAAACTGAATTTGAATTACTATATGACTTTATATGTAGTTGTTTTGTGATGACATTCTTTTGGAGGCATGACCAGTCATCTTTTCAAGCCAGACAGGAAACCAACAATAGACTAAAGTATGGCTTGGTGAACCAGTGAGTTTCATTGGGCGATGACAGAAATATAAGTGAGGAGTTACTTACAGGGTCAGAAATGAATTAAAGACAGCTGCATTACCAAAGCCAACTGTAGCATGGGCAACAGCTCAGGAATGCCGGTCAGCTAGAGAGCCTTGCAAGCCTGTGAGCAGTTCAGCAGGTTGGGCACTGCTCTTTGCTGATAGTTCAACTGTTCTGACCCTTTACCCAGGAGGTTGGCTGGTCTCTGCTTTTTCCAGGCTGCTCTGCTTGTAAGAAGGAACCAAACTGAAGCCAGTTTGAATAGAACTTCCATTTTGAATAAAGGTCAAATGAAGTTTAACTTTCCAAGACCTTCCTGGGTGACCCAGATCCTGGTTGGCAAGTTGAGGCATGAATGCTGGGCAAACTGCCCAGCCACAGGAGTAAGACAACCAATGAGAAGAAATATCCCTAGGAAAGCTCCTGTTCCCTGGATACTGATTGGTGGAAAATGTAACTGTAACTTGGCACAGATGTTTGTGTGTTTTGTGCTTTCAAAGCTCTGTAACATTCTGCTTCAGGGTCACAGTTCTGTTCCCAAATCTGTTCTGCATCCCTGATGGATCAGCAGCACCTTGATTACAATAAATATTAGTTTTCTGTATTTATTTGCTGTTTGAATTATGTTGCGTTCGATCAGACCCCATAACATGCTAGTCTGAACCTCTTCCAGGCAGCTCAGCTGGTCTGATAGTCTTCGTCTGGAAATATCTCTCTTTTTGAGACAGTGTCTCACTGTGTAGCTTTGACTGTTCTGCTAATCACTATGTTAACCAGAATGACCTTGATCTACCTGCCTCCACCTCCTAATTGCTAGGATTAAAGACATACACCATTATATCTGATTATTACTAGCCCTTATTGTTAATCTTTTAATTCCTGCTATGTGGTAGTAGTACAGTTCTTTAATCCCAGCTCTGGGAGACAGAGACAAGCAGACATTTCTAGTCTACGACTGGCTGTTAGGATAACACCTGATCTAATAATTCATTTAAACAAAAGCTTAGATGGTGATAAAAACTTGAATAGTCCCAGAGAATTCACAGCTGAAGCAGAAAAGAATTGATGATTGTTGAGGAGAAATTACAGGAGGCACATGTGGATAGGGTGAATCCAAATCTTAATTGTATTCTTGTCATATTGCCTTCCAGGATTTCTCCTACAGGAATTTTAATGCAGAGGGATGTTATTATCATAAAATGGATTTTTTTTACCACATAAACCAATTAAAAAATTAAAAACTTGTATAGAAAAGGTCTCTGAATTAATTATAAAAGGGAAGCTATCCTGGAGATTTTTATGTATCAACAAGGTTAAATTGTGCCTTTTCACCTTTTGTTCCTGGTCATCAAATTCGATAATTTGCTCAATCCTCTCAAATCTGCTTACCATTGCCTTTTGTAATGTCTGGATCTGCTGTCCAGTGTTCTGCTCTAATGCCCTCATTGAGGATTTCAAGGTATGAAGTCTGTCCAGTAGAGATAATGTCTCAACTTTGGACACATTTTCATTATCCATTCTACAGTCCAGGGGCATTTAGGTAGTTTCCAGCTTCTGGTTATGACAGACAATGCTGCTATGAACATAGTTGAGCACATGACCTTGTGGCATGATTAAGCATCCTTTGGATATATACCAAAAAGTGGTATTACTGGATCTTGAGGATGGTTGTTTCCTAATTTTCTGAGAAATTGCCACATTGACATCCAAATGGGCTGGACCAGCTTGCATTCCTACCAGCAATGCAGAAGTGTTCCCTTTTCCCCACAACCTTTCCAGCATAAGTTATCATTAGTGTTTTTGATCTTGGCCATTCTTACAGGTATAAGATGGAATCTCAGAGTTGTTTTGATTTGCATTTCTCTGATTACTAAGGATGTTGAACATTTCCTTAAGTGTCTTTCAGCCATTTTAGATTCCTCTGTTGAGAGTTCTCTGTTTAGGTCTGTACTCCACTTTTTTATTGGATTATGTGTTCTTTTGATGACCAATTTCTTCAATTCTTTATATAATTTGGGGATCAGACCTTTGTCTGATGTAGAGTTAGTGAAGATCTTTTCCCATTCTTTAGGCTGTTGTTTTGTCTTGTTGACCATATCCTTTCCTTTACAGAAGCTTTTCTGAAGG